CATTTCATTATTTGCGTGGAAGACTAGCACATTTCAGATTTTTGCGTGGAAGACTAGCACATTTCAGAATTTTGCGTGGAAGAGTAGCACATTTCAGATTTTTGGTCGCATTTGGTACTATGTAACGACTAAACACAATTTCTTTTTATATGAAAGAAAATCGCAACAACGGAAATTTTTTAGCCACTTGAAACTTGCACATTATTGCAATAAAATTGAAAGGGCTTTAAATCTATATACTCAAAAAATTCTTAGCAAAAAATTATTTGACATTTGGATGAATATTTTTAGAGTTTTTTAGTTTTCTATAAAGTTTTAAATTTGGGTTTATATCATGATTCAATGGGTAGGTTCAGAAGGCGCAGCAGTTGAGCGCAACCGTTGCTAAAAAAATCAGTGATCGTGAAGCGTCTTCTGAACGGCTTGATACATTAGCTGTCAAATTCAAAACACTCAACATGTTGTCTCAAATGATCAGAAAAATATTACGATCATTTAACACGCAACTGTTCAGTTGATCAGAAGTATAAAACAACACGTTCAGAAGGTGCAATCGCAACAGTACTGAGCTGTTGCGCCTTCTGAACGTGCTCAATAATACTAGGTTGTGTAATTTGTGACAGCTAAAATTTGACACTCGTTTATCTAGATTTGTATTTTGGAAGTAGGAGAAAGGGGAAGAATGTGATCGCATTTTGCGAAAACGGTAGTAGAATGGTACTACAAAAAGTACGCAAAGTATACAATTAGAAGTAAAATGTGTATTATTAATTCTATGCGAATTTGCAATATATTTGGTGTTTTAATGGAAATACCAAACAATACATAAAAATATGCATTTTTGATTTCAGTTATTCGTCATTTCCGGGAACAAATCTAGAATGCCGACCGTTCAGCTATGCAAAAACGAAAAATGCGGATCAATAGAACTTTTTATGCTCATTTCAACCATGCCAAAATGATTTGGCGCAAGTAAAAAATGAAGAGGTTCTAGAAGGTTAAAGTTCAATTTTTAGATATTTTAAATATTAATATAAAACCGATTAAACAGCTAATGACGTCACCATAAAGGTAATTAATTTGTTCTTCAGCTGATATACATAATTTATAGCTTTTTGTATTTTTAAACCAAAACCACTAAAAAACGAGGAAATATTATTTTCTTCATGAATTAACCTTTTTTGAAAAAACTGCATAATTAATGGTAAAGAATTTTATATAATTTAGAAAGTACAAGTTATTATCTTTGATTAGATATTACATACTTTATCATGATCTACTTTTGGGTTTCAACAATTTAGTGATAATAAAAAATACAAATAAACCTCTTATATCTTCTTTTTTTACCAGTGACAAATAAATTTGGTATCGTTGAAATCAGCGTAAAAAGTTCTATCATTTTTGCCTATTTTATAGCTAAACGGTCGCTATTCTACACTTGTTCTAGAAAATTACGCAAACGAAGGTGACGCCAACGAATATTTAGTATGGAGAATTTTTGGTTTTACTACTAATATCAACTAAAACTATAGAGTAAGCAACATTATGCACAAGTAAAGGAGCCGATTTTATGTGTGGGAGCGAGAAGACTGTTTTATTACAAAACCTTTCTATTATTGAATCATTGGTTTATATGGACTTCTTCAGAGGATGAACTTTATTTTAATGAAAATTCTTAAAAATATGTAAATAAAAATAAGTGGAAAAAATATCACTTTGGAATGAGGTGCTCTTGATATGACTGCATGCGCATTAGGGTGGTCCAAAAACAGTAGAGTCGGAATTGTAATGCTCTCACTCCTTTTTTTTTATCAAAAAATATTTAGTGGTCGTTCAAAGCATTCAAAGTTTTCCATGTATTTTTGTATGGGAAAAACAACTTTTCGTAGAAATGGTATAGAATTTTTGAAAATCAATATTTTTCGATCAGAAAACTCTGGTTCTCTTCAGGAGACTTTCAATAATAATACCCAATTATTTATTTAACAATTTTTTAATACTAGCGATTTTTTGTTTGTCACCCATTGCATTTTTCGGGGTTTTTTGGGCTTTTGGCGGACCTACAAATTATAGTTGCGAGATGAAAAAAGGTTAAATAAACAATTGGTTATTATTATTGGGAATCCTGCCGATGAAAAAAGTTTTCCGATAGAAAAATAGTTTTTTTGAATTATATACCATTTCTACCAAAAGTGTTTTTCCCCATATAAAATATGTACATGGGAAACTTTGGGCGCTTTGAGCGACCTCTAACTATTTTTTGATTTCAAAATAAAAAATAGGGATATATTTTTTCAGTATAGAACAATCCTAGGGGGTGAGAGCATAAAAATTCCGACTTTACTTTTTCACATGCATTTTTGGACCACCCTAATGCACATATATGTTTCTCGTATTTATAAATAGATTCCCTGAGGAAGACGCGAATATGCGTCCAAACGAGTAGGAGGAAAATAAACGTTTATTCTATTTGTAATAAAATACCGAAAAGCTCCATACACAACATTAAACTCTCAGCTTAGTCGAGGAGAAATAATTATTACATACACGTATGTTTGGTTTTTGTACGGCTGCTAGTACCACTCTATATGAATTCGCTATTCTTCTACGCGAGTATCTGAAATGTGCTACTCTTCCACGCAAAAATCTGAAATGTGCTAGTCTTCCACGCGAATAGTGAAAGGTGCTAGTCTTCCACGCGAAAATCTGAAATGTGCTACTTTTCGACGCGAATAATGAAATGTGCTGGTCTTCGACGCGAATAGTGAAATGTGCTAGTCTTCCACGGTAATTTGAGATGTGCTACTCTTCGTTGGGAGCGACGTTATAACCTTATTATCTCTCCCATACTTACATAAGATCAACATAAACAACTTAATTCCCAACAACATAAAAAAGCGAACAGCGTAAACCGATACTACCACCATACGCGGCTGCAACGATTCTCATGCTAAAGCGACCAGCGTAAACCGATACCACCATAATACGGCAAATGCTCGATCAACTACTTTGAAGTGAGGCGGCTGTCCACAGGTGACAACTGTAAGTTTCAAGGTCAAGGGAGTTAGATATTCAGGCGCATTCGCCGAACAAATCAATTGTATTAACTCATCCGCCATAATCGGCCGCCCTTGCTCTCGTGCAAGGGAAATATATTATTTAAAAAGTAAACCCGTGTTTTACAGGTTATATGCATTGAAATTAACAAAGGAAAACAATGCTATCATATTAGTTTTTACTTAGAACAGGGGGTTGGATGTATTCTAAAATGGAAGATAATAAAGATGAAATATAGCCCGCGGGTGTTGCTGCACTCCACCGAGGCATTTCACCACAATGGCTCCATCCTTCTCATACCCACGAGCATTGGCTGCAGTGCTGTAGGCAATGACGGGCCGGATCACGTGGCTCTTGCAGTATTTAATTTCTGAGGTCTGTGTGGCTGATACCGCCTTCCTCTGTCGCTGTCTTCAATTGCTCGTCGCAAGATGGAATTAGCAGTGCCACACCAGTACCCGCCATACTATGACTCGTAGAGACATTGGTGGGTGTAGCCGCTGTTTTCCTTCTCTTGCTGCGTTCACCAGCAGATTTGGATGTCGGTTCATCCACCATGGTCCCACTGGCTTCTGGAGTAAGCTCCGTAGACCTGGACCTCTTACTGGATGCAGCGAAAGAAGAAGTTCGGTCAGCCACAAAAGAGGTTTTCTCCTGCTTTTGTTTCACCTCCCCGATCCTTCCTCTTCTTATGGGTTTGTGAAAGAGGACCCACTCCGTCATTGGATGGTTGTTGGCAGCGAGCTGCTTCTCTACCCACATCCCCTGCAAGAGATTGGTCCTCTTCCGACTCTGAAGAATAGAGGATTGGCGCTCCTCCAGGATGCACTGCTGGTCTATGACGCTGGAGACTTTAGAAATGGCTCGGGCCTCCAGAATCACACGTGTAAGTACCACCTGTAGTATTATCCAAACGTTGTGCCATTACCATGATGTACAGTTCTGTACCAATCTGCCAGGGTCGGTGGGTATTTTTCCCATCATCCTCCTACTTCCCGAGATGCACGAATGCCATTCGGAACACACACCAAATGGATTTTAGTCGCCTTTTATGACAAGGATGCCTTACTTCGGGTATATTCTCGCGCCTAGCCCTCCGGCCTATAAAATGTTGAATTTATATTGAAGTGTAGGGAATGGGACTCTTATTATTGGAAGCCTTGAGAGCCAGGGTAGCCTATCAGACATTTAAAAAGTATTAATGCATTACTAAAGCGAAACGGCAATAGCCCGATTCACGCTCCTTTAGTTTTCTTTTACTATAATAGGAAGCATCACGTAGGTGAAATAAACTTTTCAATAGAAGACCGTAAATACTATTAATCTATCTAATATTACCAAAAAAAAATTTTAGATCGCCTGCCTGGCTCTCATGGCCTCATATTTAATAAAAGTTTTTGAGTGAAATAATGAGTAAATGCTGATTTAACTTATTTTGCGCATAATGATTACATTACCAGTTCTGTACTATTAATATACGTTTGAAGAAGTAAATAGTGACGTTTGGCGTGGAATACCGCGTATACCTAAAATGTAATATTACGTATGCGGCTGCGGTTTCGCGCGAATTCGCTCGTCATCGCTTACAATGTATCTGCGTAAATTGGTTAACTGGCTTACCGAAATCACAACATACTAAATGTAGGCATTCCACTGCCAAAGCATAGTACCGAAACCCCAACGTGAGCTGGCACGGAAAAAATTTAACTTAGTTACCCTATCTCAATAAGAGCCTACTCTACACAGTTAATAGTATATATAATATTACTATATTTAGTAAGTGCCGTTTGAACTAATCTAATTCAAAAGTTTTGAAGAAAACAAATTTTTTTGCTCTTGCATTTGTCGGATACGAGGTATTGCTCGCCAACCGATGATGTATGTACGAATATTTTATATTTATGTGTACAAATGTTTATTATTGCATACCATTTCATCTACAGCGCGGCTCCAAAGAAGATCGATTTCTTGTTCGTCAATGTAAAGCTGCGATAAACAAACTCTTCGAACAGAATCTTCGCATTCAACTCTCGGATGCATCTTTCGTTAATTTGCAAGTACAATTTAATGTCGGTGACTTTAAATTTGGACAAATTTCCCCTCATGCCAAGCTTACAGAGGCAATAAACCGTTTGTTCACCTGTATGGAGCGTATTAATGGCGTAAGCGGAATATTGAATTTGAGTCGGTTTAATGCCCAAACTGAATTTTTCGACTTGATTGTTAATCTGGGCAATCGTACAGTACTTGAAACCGTTTGCAATTTAATTTATCGGAATGAAAAATTCAGATTAGTGAATGGATTTAACCTCAGCGAAAATGGTATTACCTCTGTAGCGCCACTGGCGGTATTTTCTGGAGCATCTTTTGCAGTTTTGGATTTAAGAAAAAATAAAGTAAGTTTTATTTTTCAAAAACATTGATATACGAGGGACACTAAGTAAGTCTCTAGACTAGCCAAGAAAAAAAACATGATTAGTATACTGTTGCATATACTGGTACCTCAAAAACATGGTTTTTGAACGTGCCAATAGCTTCTGGCGATAAAAATGGTTGCCCGCGCAGTTTATCTTTGATGTACGCGTACAATGAAGCAATCATTACGCGCTAAATCCGGACTGTACAGCGGAGGACCCATCAATTTGATGCTGTAAGTGCTTAAACAAATTATTTGTTTGCTAGATGTGTGAGAGGTCACATTGGCTTGATGAAATACGTCACCTGTTATGATGTAATTTAACTAACCGCACTAATCGACACGAGCTACATTATGTAGGATTCAACGGGCTCATACCATGATTCAATAATACAAGGTTGTGTAATTTGTGACAGCTAAAAGTTGACACTCCTTTATCTAGATTCGTATTTTGGAAGTAGGAGAAAGGGGAAGAATGTGATCGCAGTTTGCGAAAACGGTAGTAGAATGGTACTACAAAAAGTACGCAAAGAATACAATTAGAAGTAAAATGTGTACTATTAATTCTATGCGAATTCGCAATATATTTGGTGTTTTAATGGAAATACTAAACAATACATAGAAATATGCATTTTTGATTTAAGTTATTCGTCATTTCCGGGAACAAACCTAGAATGCCGACCGTTCAGCTATGCAAAAACGAAAAATGCAGTTCAATAGAACTCCTTATGCTCATTTCAACCATGCCAAAATGATTTGTCGCAAGTAAAAAATGAAGAGGTTCTAGAAGGTTAAAGTTCAATTTTTAGATATTTTAAATATTAATGTCTTGTGAACTTTATAACCGATTAAAAATCTAATGACGTCACCATAAAGGTAATTAATTTGTTCTTCAGCTGATATACATAATTTATATAAAATATTATATAAAATACAAAATTTTTAAACCAAAACCACTAAAAAACGAAGAAATATTATTTTTATCATGAAATAACCTTTTTTGAAAAAACTGCATAATTAATGGTAAAGAATTTTATATAATTTAGAAAGTACAAGGTATTATCTTTAATTCGATATTACATACTTTATCATGATCTACTTTTGGGTTTCAACAATTTAGTGATAATAAAAAATACAAATAAACCTCTTATATCTTCTTTTTTTACCTGCGCCAAATAAATTTGGTATCGTTGAAATCAGCGTAAAAAGTTCTATCAATCGGCATTTTTGGTTATTTTATAGCTAAACGGTCGCTATTCTATACTTGTTCTAGAAAATTACGCAAATGAAGGTGACGCCAACGAGTAAGCAACATTCTGCACAAGTAAAGGAGCCGATTTTATGTGTGGGAGCGAGAAGACTGTTTTATTACAAAACCTTTCTATTATTGAATCATGGGCTCATTACGCTCACACACGTGTGCTGTGCATATAAAAAATAATGACATTCGTTGTTGTTGTTAACCATTTGACTTTTAATAAAATTATGACATTTCATCAAATTCATGCTACCTGATCACTAGAAGAAATATTTTTTTTTAGGCAGAATATTTTATCAGTACATTCAAAGATGTGCATTATGATGGACTTGAAAATTATGCCGGTGACATAATTTCGAAAAAAGGGTTAACGACTAGGTTTCAGAACGCATGAAGAAAGTGATTAAAATTATACTTACATATCGTCGTTTAAAGTACAAAACCGTGTATCGTCGTTCTGCAAAACCGGGCAACTGAAATTTTTTACCAAAAATAGGATTTGCTCACACAAGCTCTTGGCTCAAGACTTATCCATTCGTCCTGAAATATACTAAACAGAAATGCGATTGCTTTGTAAAAAAGAGACCGAGTTTGGAATATGAGTTTTTTTACTCTCTAGAAAATAATTTATGCAACCTCACATACGCAGTTTTGCATTTTGTTGATAGGCGATTTTGTACTTTATACGACGATTGTTTATACGAATTGTTTATCGGAGGGCGGTCTGTTTAAGCCGACTTCAGGTTTTTCGCATACATTAGAAACTTTCATTTCAAAATTTGTGAAAGTTAATGGTGATACGCTAATCACAAAGCCTAATTTTTTTCAAAATCTGATGAGAAATTTAAAAGTATATTTGAACCAAAATATAAAAAGGTTTTATTTGGGAAGAACTTTCTTTAGAATCAGATTTTTAAATCGCAAGATTGCGTTGAAAATATGAAGTGAAAAAATAATAGCAAAATGCGCGTTTTTATTAAAAAATAAATAAATTACAATGAAGTGTTCTTTAATAGTCTATATTTGATATATTTTTAATAAAAATAGTGCGAGCTACATAAGTAAAAAAATGCCAAGCACTGATAATGGTTTTTGATTTGAAATGTTATTACATTGGTATAAATGTGGGAAGGAAAATACTCCGATTTATTATTTTAATATTATTATATTATCAAAAGTTGATAATACTTACTATTTATGAAACTTCAAAAAATTTTATTATCCGTCAAAAGTTGTTTATTGAAACTACCTTTTTTTTGTATCATCTATAAAGCACACGTACATGTGGGTGCTTGGCGTAGAGAAACACATACACTTCTAGCTCAAATCCTAAATCAATTTTTAATGTTTTCTGTCATATAAAAAACAAACAACATGGAATCTTTTTTGAATTGTTTAAAAAAAAATAACGTTTTTTAAAAAAATTTCTTTAAAAAATATATTATGTGCATGTGCAAATTTGTACAAAAATCGGCTCACACACATGTGCATGCGCTTAATAACAAACAGCACACACTTTGCTATGAGCAGAGTTTGTTTTCCACTTCTGCACACACACGTGTATGAGCAATGAGGGGATATATTTCTGGCTTGTGAGCATGTATGCGCTATTATGAACGCTGTTTATAACGACCAAATGTTTATGCAGTGTTGTGTGTATGGCGTGAATGCCTAGGGCCGCCACAATTTCACTATGCCAGTGTTTTCTGGCATACAATCCGATATTGGACGATCTTCTCGATGTTCATCCGCGAGCGAAGTACGACCACGCTTCAATGCATTGTACCAATTATATCGATGCGCCCAACGAAAACCTCTTGAAATATGAATTTGAAACTTTGAAGTGAATGTAAACCAAGCGCGCACGTACTGTAAAATATTCGGAGTAATGTTGCAAAATCTAAAGACTTATTTGGTGCTCCTTCAAGATACTTTCATACATACATATATTACCTGAAAATCTGATACTTCATAGAAAATAAAAAAAATTATGCCGTTTGAAAAAATAATTTAAGTGCCTTACAGGCTTAGCTCTTTCAAAAATTCGATTTCCTATATAGTCCGGTCAATTTAGACATTCGAGGTTACAAAAATTCCCACCCAGCTGAAAATTGGAAAAAAAGTTACTCGGGGTCAAAGGTCACAAAAACGGGGGTTTCGCGATTTTTAGCAAAACCTGTAAGTTTATCATAAAATTAGTTTAGACAAAAATTGCAGGTCAGATAATTATCTATAAAAAATGTCAAATGTGTTTTGAACTATCCTACCGATTTTCAGCTGAGTGGGAATTTGTGTAACTTCACTCCTATTTATTGTGTAATTTGACCGGACTAATCTAATATATATAACACGAGGAATTATTTTTTGGTTTCAATTCGATTTTTCGGTATTCCATTTTTTTTTTTTTGGTAAGAACGAGTGAACAGCTTTTTTTGGGCATGACATTTGCTACAAAAAAAGGTCCGACCAACTGCTTTTAGCTACAGAGCTTTTTTTTTTGGCGGGAGAGGCGGGCGAAAAATCCCTTCGGATCTATAAAAGCCGTCGCTGATACGTTATACGATACTAAAACGCCCTATCTCTGGTCTCTTCGCTACCCTTACCCTGGAACCGCTTTCGCATTACTTCGGGGTAGAGGTCCAGGAATATTTTCAGACTCTTCTACTCCCCTGCGTCCAGGACCACCACTTGTAGCTCACAATACGTGTCCAGCTCTCTTTTTTTTGACTAAAGGTATTTCCTGTGTACTTTGCGATGTCATTCCAGTTTTCTTCGCAGCTCGTAGTTTTTTTGACTATGTTCTCAGCGGTCATTTTGCCTATTTGTCACGCATCCCTTTCTCTTTGCCATATTCGGCATTCGAAGAACGTGTGTTCTGCGTCATCTAGCTCGGCATCATACAAGCATTTCGGACTCTCTGCCTTGCCCATCTGGTGGAGATATTTCAGGAAGTATCTGTGACCGGATAGTAGTTGGGTTATGTAATAATTTACATTGCCGAATTTTCTATCCGCCCATTCTTGAATTTGAGGTATTAGTTTTGCTCTCCACCTAGCCCATTTTTCCGCATGCCCACATTCTTGCCACAGGGCCTGTACTTGCTCTTCTATTTCTTGCACAGGGGTCAGCGAGGCCTTGGCTTCTTTTAATTCCCACTTCATTTTGCGTTTTTCAGTCGCTAGATCTATGGATGGGATTCCGCTTATTACTAGAATCGCTGGTCCTGATACGGTACGGTAAGCTGATGCCACTCTAAGAGCAGCTGTGCACTCTACTGAAGATAGAATCCTCCTTCTTTCTGCTGCCAGTCCTTCTGCTCAGATTTCGCTGCCATAGAGAAGAGTTGATGTGGTGAAGTCCATTAGGAGTTCTCCCTTGCTCTGGTTTGGTCCTCCAATATTTGCCATCAGTTTGCTGAGCGATGATGGCACTAGTTGTTTCTTAGCTGCGTGCTGGATTTGCGCCCAGTATGTCAGCTTGGGGTCCAATATTAGTCCTAGGTACTTCAGAGGTTTCTTGGAGAGAGCTGCTGTGTCACAGACTCTCATTTCTACGTGAACGGGGATGTGTCTTCGTGTTAGCAGGAGTACTTCTGTCTTTTCGGTGGCAAGCGTTACACCGTCGTTATCTAGCCATCCTTTGGCGCTGGCATGTCTTGGTTGAGCTTTCTTTGTGCCTCTATAATTTCCCTGGCCTTGATTACCGCTGCGACATCGTCTGAA